ATTAAGTTACGTGCCAATACCTTTGCTACCTATGTATGCCTATGCGCAGGAAGCACGAAACACGAATCTTGCGAATATTATTGAACACCTAATATCAATGGATCATTTGTTTAGTTAGAGACAGTGAAATTTTATGTATAAATATTCATGAGAATTCAAAAATTATGCGAATGCTGAGCAATTAATGGTGCAAGATATTTTACAATCTTCTTATCGAATGTTGAATCAAGATGTAAGAAAATATTGTACGAATCTTCCTGCCGAATGTTAAACCAAAAATATAAAAGAAATATAAAAGGAATATTATATGAATCTTCTTACCGAATGTTGAAGATCAAAGATGTCCCAAATAGCGTGGATTTCAAGCAATTGATCGCAAATCAATAGTTACACGCGTTAATTTTATATAATAATAAAAATGTATATACGAATATATACGAGATACGATAGAGAGTCGAGCAGAGAGTAGCGAATCCACTTCCAATATGCAGGACCGACCTTAGTATAATGACCGTTTCGAACGATCATGATCTTGTCTTTGTTTACACGAACCGAAAGGCACGCGAATGGTATCGCAAAAACTGAGACTCCTATTCGAACCGTTAGCAGGATGCAAAGTATGATTCGAATGTACAGGGAGTCATCGTACCAAGCGGAACCAAACATGCAGAAACACAAACATATGCCGCCGTTAAGGTTACGAAAACAATTGTTCTAGGTGTCGTAAGGGTCAATTTGTGAGACGAGGAATTGTGTATTGAAATCCATTCAGGTAACGATCGAATTATTCGACGAAACGTTCAATAGTGATGTTGTAATGTTAATAGCATTTCAAAATAAAATCGTGGACCAATTAACATAATTTTCTATTTTAACCCTGTTACGATCCACTTTTTACGCGTCGGCCTTATTTTCATTTGAACAAATTTTTTTTCAACACAAAATTCAAACAAAAGACCACGTACATTTTTTCCACATTTTCTGAGCTTTAAATATTTCTTGACAATGGCAAGACACGATTGGATCAAAAATTATTTAAAATAAAAACATTAAATATTATTGTATGAACTATCATATATTTACTAAAATATCATAATGACAAGATATGATAACCTGTTTATTCCAAAAAATAAACGAGTTCCACCGTGGAAATTTAAAGTTCTTTGTATCTCCCTGTTATTGTTTCAAACTTTTATAATGTATTATGATATGTTTTGCAATATATAGCAAATGTATATTGAAATGACGATGAAGAGAAAAAACAAAGCAAGAATGAAATAGCATAGATGTTGGATACAATAAGATAAGAACTTACGAAAATCGGTTTTCCACGCATCCGTCTCCCGCCTTTTCCCGTATTCTTTCTTCTCTGAATTTTCCAAATGTCACTTTCAATTCAAATCGTCAAAAGTTATTCGATTCTAATCCTTTCACGACGTATCACTAAACGCCGGTACCAAGCATGGGGAAAATTCATTTTTAACAAAACATTTTCTGTTCTTATTTTAAATGTCAGATCACGGAAATCACTCGTCGTTGGTTTAAGGATCTTTGAATCATCATATAGAATGGCGGTGAAAAGATGACAGAGTATGAAAGATAACCGATTTTCGCGAAAAATCCTTAACTGTTCCGTCCGTACGCTGCCAGCAGCGAAGGCGACTGAAAACAGAGAATCGGCCGGCAAATTGTCGATCGTATAGATGCCCTTGTCACGCATTGAAAATGAAAATTTGGTCCGGAATAAGTGGCGCCGCCTTACGGAAGCGAGACCGATTCGTTTGATCTTCAAGATCTTTCAAATATAGAATGTTCCCTCGTTACGAAATTTACATACTCTTGCATTCTGTACTGCGATCTTACGTAATGATTTTTAAATACCTTCTGAATATTTCTAAATACCGTCTGATTCTTCTTTAAATATTAAAATACTATTATTCTTCATTTTAATAGATTTATTTAAATAACTATAGATTTGTTTAAATTGATAGAGACAGTAAGCATGAATGAAAGATATAAACATATTTAAATCACTATAGATTTGTTTAAATTGACAGACATTAAGCATGAACGAAAGATATAAACAAACTGTATTTTGGTTAAGTTTGAACTTTTATTTATACAGCTTTACCATAATTTATAATAGATCAACGTTAGCTTTGGCAATGAATTTTGAAATAATTACCAAATGCATGTAAAACAACTTGATATAAATTATAGTATAATTTTACTACATATACTAACGCCTTAACCAACAACTAATATACCACCTTCAAATTCGTGAGGTGGAACTTCTAAATTTAGCGGAGCTGGTCCTTTCCTAATCCTTCCACTCGCGTCGTAATGAGAACCATGGCAAGGACAATAGTAACCACCAAAATCACCAGCATTTGCAATTGGGACACATCCTAAATGTGTACACACACCCAAAACAACCAACCATTCTGATTTTTTCACACGCTCTGTATCTGCTTGTGGATCTCGAAGAGATGAAACATTTACTTGCGACTCCGTATCAATTTCTTTTTGTGTTCTACAATCATTCCAGAGCAAAAGCTGTATTCAGTTCACATATACAAAATATGAAGATATATATGTAAGAATGTTTAGCAATATTTACCTATGTCGTACAAAAAGAGGCTTTCCACGCCACTTGAAAACCGCATTCTTTCCTTCAGGAATACTATCAAGCTTAACTTCAATCTTTGCCAATGCAAGTACATCAGCAGAAGCACTTAAGTACGATACTAAATCATGTACAATTGTTTTTGTACTGTATATTGTACAAACTGCAGTTGCTATAACATATAATATAATAAATCAAAAATAAATATTTCTTTGCTATTGTAGAATAGTATAAGACAAATTAAAAGATATATTTACTAGCTGTTGCAATATATGCAAACGATTTGCGACTTTCGGCACTTTCCTTGCTTTTGGTAGTTGGATCTTTTACAGCATTGTGACGATAATCAGTAAAATCTGGCCATTGAATATCAGTGTGTGCCAACCTCCTTTGTGTTGCTAGTAAACTTGCTAGAAAATTCATTGAAAGTACTTTTATATCGAATATTAAAAATAAGAATAATATCAATTTCAACGTTTCAAAATAGAAAAAAGATTTGTACAACATTTGTGATAAACGAAATTGGTACAATAATAATCTTCGAAATTGTACTGCGTACGACATACGATTATATAATCGAAATTATAATGAGAATAAATTCTGTTGATGCATGAAATATAATAAAATAATAATTAAGTAGAAGTTTCGAACCTCCAATTCCCGAACTCACACGTAGGGACCCTGTAATAAGAGTTTCCTGCAAACTTTCAGAAACCAGTCGACTAACGGCAGGTTTAGTAACAATTTTCGATTTTAATACAACACCTGTTCCAATCACTGGTTGCAGCCCATTTGAAATGACAGTTGTCGACTTCAACAACGGCGCGAGACTTGTCGATTTCGCTACAACGTTCATTTTTCCTTCTCAATTGCTCATCCACATCCAAATGAAACTTCACCGAACACCAACTAAAATCCGAAGACCAACGTCTTCAGATGTCTCTGCAACGCAACTTTTGTAGAAAATTCTCTGTGAATTAACAGATGTCGCGCAATAATGTATTGAATCACTGATTAACTAATTGCACAATTTAACCACAGACTTTCAGCAACTAAAGATATTTTTAAGCAAAATTTAAATGAATAAAAATTAGATATATTTATAATTTATATATATTGGAGCTAAATTTAATTCTGTTACTCAATTTTCTTTTTCTTAGTTCTATTTTCTAATGTCTACACTATAGGCTATAGATTATAAAATATTTTCTAATTTCTATATAATTTATACAAATATATAATAATATAATGATATAATTTAAAAATATAAAGATTAAGATGTACATTACTTTGACTATATTATTTTGTAGATATATGTAGGTATATATATATATAATATCTAAAATTATATACGCTTAAAAATTGATGTATGTTTGAAAAACTTTTTTGCGAAATATTAAAATGACGTATAAAAAAATATTTTGTAGATGGCGTAGCTACTAGTTCAATTTTATGTGCTTACATTATTATCTTGATCTCTGATCTTATTTCGAGTTTTCACAAACGCATGTAACATGCGTATAGAAACATGTTATTTTTGTTCGTCCCGGATTTATCCGGGACACGGAATTCAGTTTGTAAGAAATGACTGTAAGGTGAGAATTTTTATACATATTTACCACAATAACAAAATTTCGTTTCTATAATTTTAGAAGAAATGTTCTAAACTATAATTTTTTCGATCAAGATTTTTAGGTTATGTGTATATTTAGGTGCAACTGCTGTTTCTGCACTTGATAATAATTTTTCTTACAATATGTAAATAATTGATAATTGTTATAAATTATATTGCATAAATATTACCATATTATTATATGCATATTTTCATTTCATATTCCTTCACACAGATATTCAGATTTTGTCGGTCAAAATGTCATGCTGCATTTAAAAAGAAGAAAAATCCAAGAAAAGTCAAATGGACCAAGGCATATAGGAAAACAGTTGGCAAAGAGTTGGTAGTGGATCCCTCGTTTGAATTTGAAAAGAGAAGAAATGTCCCAATTAAATACAACAGAAAATTATGGAATAATGCAATTGACGCAATAAAGAAGATTGAAACTATTAAACAAAAGAGACAAAATCTACATATAATGCAGAGATTACGTAAAGGACGCGAGTTAGAACAAGAAAGAGATATTAAAGAAGTTCAACGCGATTTATCACTTATAAGATCACCTGCTGCGGGGTTGAAAGAAAGAAAGAAACTGGAAGAAACTGCAGAACAAGAAGAAATGCAGGATTCTAATGATGAGCAAGAACAACAAGAAATGGAAGTGAATTAGTTTGGAACTGTATCTATCATCTATAATATGATAAGATGGTAATTGAAAATTTTGCAATGACATATAAAATGTATAACAACTAAACTTGCAAACATATGTATTAGATGTTTGTGTATTCAAGAGAACATTTATTTATAGTAAATGATTTTTTATAGTACGACATAATTATTTGTGTGAAAAATTTGTAAATAAAAATAGTATAAAATTAAATACTGGTAATAACATTGTGTATTTAAGTTAATCCACGTGTAACTTATTGATTTAATTATTGTAAATAAATTATTATAAGGATTAAATAATATTTAGGAATTTAGAATAAGGATAAGAAAATTTAGAAATCTACAAATAAGATCTGCCTAAAAAGATTAATATAATCATAAATATAAAAATGAAACTATTCGAATGAATACTTCAATCTGTGGAGTAAAATTTGTGTCTTTATACAAGAATTTTATAGGTCAAGTGGAATATAGAGAACAAGTCGATGTAATTTCGAATATGCAATTATGAAAATTCACAAATTAATCTTATTTAGTTTTTTTGGTAAATGAAAATTTAGTTAACTTGGGCATGTAGATACGATGATCGATAATCTTATATAATCAACGTACTACAAATATTAACAAATAACTTTATTATTATTTTTTTAATAACTGATATTTAACAATATTTAAATGAACAATGAAAATTATAATGAATTAACTACCTATACTCTTTTAATTGATTATTTAATGATGAATATAGATTATTTAATGATGAATGTAGACTGTCGATTAATTCTTTAACAACTATTAAGTATATACTCGATAATTTGTTATGTTTCCTTGACACTTGTTAAACTATTGTAATAATAATTAAAATATTGATCTTTTTACATGATTTCTTGCTTTCGAGAAATAGATGTCGCTGGAATACAGGCATTGAAATGCTAGCGTCACGTAGCGGTAAAGTGATAGAACTAAAATCTATCATTGTCCTTGTCATACACTAATGCGCCCTTTGTCTGCAGATAATACTGCCATCTAAGCATCCCTCAACTTTAACTGCTACTAAAAGGATAAAGAGAGAAACTCCAATAGATGGCAGAATGTGGTCTATACATAAACAAGAAAAGAAATATTGTGTGACAAGGATAGATATATATCATGTATCAAACAAGGATAGTAATAGCGTGTGACAAAGATACCAATAGATTTTAGTTCTACTGTTTCACCGCTACGCGACGCTAGCATTTCAATGCCCATAAATTGATTAAATTTTCACTTGCAAAAGAAGCTCATTTAAACTTTTGTAATTAATTCTTCCAAATTAGACTTTTAATTCTTTTTCTATGTCTTATTTAATCTACGAAATGTAAGTTATAAAGATTTTTAATTTTTGAACAATAGATTGAAACATACTTTCATGTTTAGTTTTTTATTAAACTAATTGAATTTTGGAATTTGGAATTTGAATCAAACTTGTTCATACAGTCAAAAGTGTATATGATAAATTTCAGGTATAGTTTTTGATATTAAATTATTTAATAAATAATTTAATATCATTTTATATAAATGATATATAATTAATAAATAAATTATATTATTTTGATAAATTTTTATTCAATTCGTTAGTTACACAAAGAATTATACATTGCAGTATTGCACAGGACGATGTGATTTGCATTTATGTTATGTCATCTTTTGTAATTAACTTCTATCACAGATTCTATAATTACACAGAATTATTATATATTATAATAATTTTATAAACTCAAGTACAATACTTATAATTAATTTATCTTTATTAATCGATATTAGTAAATTATTCATATAATTCTAATAGTTATTTTTCGTGTTTCATACTGAAGTTCGATCATGTTAATCAAGATCAATTGTTCCGGATCCAGTGGATCACACAAGATCATAAAATAATAAGTTAATCAATTATAGCTTAGCTCACTTATTAGCAATAAATTAAGAAGTGAATTAAGAAGAATCAGCATGGCATGATAGATAGAAAGGAAATGTTTTTTAAAAAAAATTTATTGAATAACCACCTTACTGATACTAAATGCAAAACAAGATATGTACTTCCGATTTTTTTTTCATAGAAAATGGATAATACGATAATCAAAATTTAAGTATGTGACGATTAATTGTAAATCTCTCTCGCTCTCTCTACACTGTAAAACATACACATACTCACATTACTCATCGTTACTGACAATTATATTCCAACGTATAAAGACGTCAATCTACGATGAAATTTTATATCCGATGGTTTGCCTAATTATATTTCTCATGCTCCGTTGCCAAAGGGTTAAATCCACACTAACCCAAACATCATACCACAGACAATACCTTTAATACATAATCACGTGAAAGATTGCAAACAAAGGCATTAATCACGTCGATCCGTAGTTGTTTGAAGTGCAAAAAGGAGAGAGAGCAAGAAAAACGTCGTTAGAGCGAGCTTTCGAATAGTTTGCTGACCCTCGAGAAGATGTTCGACCGTGGCAGATCCCCAGGTGAAGAAAACGTTGCTGTTCCGAGTGGTCGTACGCGGCGAGGTGTGACTACCGCACCTCGATGACACTGTAAACACTCAGCCGGTGTTTCCAGCAATTACCAGGTAAACCGCGGGGTGTTGTTTGCCACGGACGAAATGTGTTACAACAACAGAAGTGCGGCGTTCGTGAAGGAGAGAGCCGGCAGAGGCACCGATACAGGATCCACTCGAGTTACGCGGCAAGAAAAGATTTTCAAGGGCATGAGCTTGCAGATTTCGTCCTCCTGACAAACCTACCACGGCCAATCTTTTCGCCGGTCTACCCTTTGATTCCTGCCGACTTAACCTCGTGTTTGTTCTAACCTCGGGCCAGCGTAAACTCCGAAAAATTTCATGCTAATGGAACGTCGATTGACTTATGATTGTTCGTCAAGTTATTCATCGACCACCTTATCGGTTGAATTACTCGTTACAGTAAAGTGCTACTCTTGCGTTTTAATATTGTAGAGAACAAGTGCAATCTTTGTTCTATTCTTTTAATGATATAGATTTGTACGAACATCCGCAGCTTGCGAATTATTCTTTAAAAATAGAAATTTAGAGAGATTCTTACCTATAAAAGAGAGAGAGAGAGAGAGAGAGAGAAGATCATTTGAAGATCATCATTTTCAGAGATATTTATAGTATTGAAAAAAACTTCAATCACAGTATTATATCAAATTGTAACCAACAACTATGTGACCCACACGTTCCTTCGTTTAAAAACAAGCGTCGCGTTTTGCTGGTTTGATTCACGATGAAATCCCGACGAGTTCCCGTCTCTTTTTTTATCACACCAGTTCGAGCTCGTCATGTAAAGTGATTAATCATTTTTTCCGAGCACTAGAAGTGCTTCGCTCGATCTTGCGTCACGTTCGCTATACAACGTGTTGACAAATTCCGCTCGTTCTTCCTTCGCTTACGAGATCAATTACAGTGACGATAAGTCTGAAAGAAACGCGAATCGGGTATAATCCACGTTTGGAGGGAGTAAAAATTGAAAAGGAACGCTCAGGTAAGAGGGGACACGCTGCTTTCGGAGAAGAAATGTTGGAGAGTTCCCCTCCAACGGAACGGGATTCGTCGGTGGTTTCTCGCGCGCGAAAAAATGTTTTCGACCACACGCAATATTGTGGGCCGTGTTTACTGAGGAAACACACGACACGGTGGTCGAAACGCGAGTCGCTCGTGCCACGAATTGCAATTGCGATCGTTTGTCGTTTTGTCTCAGCTTGATTCCTTTCATTCTTTTCCCGATGCTAGGCTCGCACCGAAAATACACCGTTCTCGTTTCTACGGGCGGGAATAATTCCCTTGCATGATTGATCGATCGAGTGCCGAGAAATTCATTCGTGAATTTTCTTTGCATGGTGCTAACACATGCAGTGTTATTAATATTAATTCCTTGCGTTCGCATTCGGTATTTTGCATGTCGACTGCCAGAGAATGCTGATTTATCGTGTCAATGTATGGTACATAATCGTGTGGCAGACACGCGATACTTTTCGAGCGAGACAGTGGTCGCATGAAGAGCAGTAGCGTGAATTGTATACGAATTGTATATCACTAGTCGCATTGCTTCCACAAAATCTGTAAACTTTTTTTTCTTTTATCTCTTTTTTTTTTATTATCGAATCGTCAACGTTCACGATTGAGTGAAGATACGAATCTGAGTCAAGTGCGATATATCCAATTGTTAATGGAAAAATAATCTAGGCAAGTTATCTACTTTACCATAACGAAATTTTGGAGAAGCCTGGAAGGAACGATAGAGCAAAGAATGTGAGAACACGGGCGCGCACCTTCTTCTCCTAATCGTTTCCAGCGCCGCGCAAGAAAAGGTCCTTGTAATAACATCTTACGACGAAAGCAGTACGCTCATAAATAAACAAAGAGACTGCACGGCCCGACTTAAAATAGTTTGTCCCGAAGCGTAGCCAGGCATTTGGTCGGACAATATTATTTTACGGTGACCAACGGTCGTCATCGTTGACGAAATACGCGGGTCCCCGAAAGAAACAAACGCTGCCTCTGATCTCACCGATAGATTCGAAATGTAAATCACACGTCGCGTGGAAAAATTAATGGAAAGCGAGAGAAATGCGTGCTAATAGGGAACGCGTTCCAATTAGGCCGCGATGCAGCACGATATTTTTATTTATTCGTTGACACACATTATGCGTAGAGGGCATCTTTTCAACCGAGTCCATTAATCTTCTTCGTTTATTCTCTTTTAACGAGAGAAATGGCCGGTTCGGCTGTCGTTCGACCGAAGGTAGTCGTCTGCTCGCTTTCCAACATATTCCACTTGCTCGAGCGAAATCGGATAAAGAGAAATGTAACGGTCAGAGGCCTACAAACTTCGGTCCACCTAAAAGGGTAAATTAGTCAATCCAGGCGTTTAATTAAACTTCGATGTCGCCCGTTATCACAATGGGGTCCGATGGGGCATTTACCGGGATACCAACTATGATAGAATCTCCAACGTCGACTTTCACTGCTCGTCCACTCGTTTCGAGACCATCTGTTCCTGTGCTTCCTTTCGCGTGGAAGACGTCGGATGACTTAAAGAAAAATCTACATACACGTGCCACCTCGAGATCAAATACTCGGCCCTATTATTTTCACTTGGAATTGAAGTTGTGCAACAGTTTCAGAAATCCTCCAACTCTAGACGAGTTTACGAAACCGAAAAAAGCTTAGTAGTTCTAACCTGCTACTTTCCCCACTAATACAACAGTATTACGATATTAATTTTATCGTGCA